ATCAGGCTCTGGACTTCCATCATGTTCTGGACTGCCCTCAGTCCTGGACTGCCATCAGTCAGGTTCTGGACTGCCATCGGACCCCGGACCGCTGTCGCCACAGCAGAGATGCTGCTGCACATCCTTGCTACCAGCAGCCCACAGTTGCAGCCACTTCCCAGCACCTGGACCCCAGGCTTGGGGGGGGTCTTTTCAGCCTCTGGCCTCACCACCAGTGTCCTGAGCTCTTCTCCTGTTATTAAGGCGAGCGGGTATTTGTCGGGGTTTGGGGATATTTGTCTTTTCTTCCTTAGCGCTGTACTTCAACCTGCTTGCAGCTTGGGGGCAGAGCCACACTGGCTGCTGCTGGCAGCGAGGAAAAGCCGCTTTCTGGAAGTTTTCGCAGCTGGGACAGGTTCTGGAGGGGGAATTCCACCCCCTTTCCTCGGTTAGACATTGAGTTACCGCACTCGGATGCAGGAGGAGTTTCCCTCCTAGAAAAGAAAGTATTTTTGCTCCAACCCCTCCCCATGTCTTCATCTTTGTGTGTGAGCTCTGGTGCGCGTCCATCCTCAGCCTTACTTCCAGGCTGGACTGGATCTGTGGACTTTATTACTCAAAGCAAGCACGTTTTCCCCACTGTGCTGAGATAAATTACACGTTCTCCCTCATGCTGAGGTGTGTTTACCTCCTGTCACGTTTTTCTTCTCCAACAGAACATTCTGAGCACGGCATAACAGCATCGTTCTTTAAAGCACGCAGAAGTGTGTTAAACTACTGTTAATACATTTTATCTCCTCAGTAGGGACCTGGAGCATGCCCAACACATGCACTGGGAAAAAAAGCACTGCCTCGGGATGAGGGTGAGATTCTGTGTTAGGCTTCCAGCCATAGCTGGGTACACAGAGCAGGTTTAAGCTGGTTTTATGCCCTTCTAATCCTGAGCTGCTCTGCGGGCTGGAGCAGACATCCTGGTGTTGTCTGCCTGAGGTGTCTGTGTGTTTTAACTGCCCTGTAAACTCAGCTCTTCCCCGAGTTCCTGAAATGCTGCTGTGAGACGGAAAGCTGCTCTGAGCCGGACCTTCTAGTGCTGCCCAGCTCCTGCACAACTGTTCGGGAGGGAAAGCACCAAAGGGCAACTTTGACAAGCTGCATAATGAAATGCCTCCCCCAGATGGATGTAAAAACCACTTCACGTTGCCCTGCTCCGAGGAGCTCAGCCGAACGGCCAAGATTTTAAATTCAATGGCTGCATACACTGGTTTCTGCCTAGGACATCTGCTTCTGTGCAGCTGGTGCTCTTGAAGCCACACTGATCATCGGCGCTCTTGAAGCACAACCTGATGCTGTAGAGAAGAGGGCCTCAGGGATCCTCTGGGTGCTGGTGTGACCTGATGAAGGACGAGCATCCTGCCAGTTGCAGGTGGGGTTATGGAACCTGCCCCATAACGTTTTGTACATTTAACAGGCAACCTGGGAGCTCCTGCCTGCAAGCAGAGGAGAATCCTGGTGTTTCCTACCACATGCAACTGTAGGAATTCAGCATTGGGGACCAGCTGTTTTTTTGGCTGTGCATGATGATGCAGGCACAACTACCCATTCTTCTCCCTCCTTTTAGAGGCTGCCTGTCACAAACAATGCCCCAAGTGTCCTGCAGAGTGTATGACAAACTGGTAACAGTGGAAGCATTGATCAACAGAGGAAAGGTAAAAGTGTTCCTTTACCTGAGAAGGAACATTTGGACAAAGAGGAACGTACAGACCATGTGATGCAATGGAAACACGAGGATAAGCTCTGGGGCTCCAGATCTTCTCATCAGGTCCCTACATAGAACACTGATAATACCTGTAGGCTGCAGAGAACAATGTGGGCAATACTGTACTGCATCCTGCAGTAACAGAGCTCAACAAATGATGAATTTTCCGTGTCACCTGTGGTCAAACAGCAACTGATTGACTCATTTCTAAGATGTCACGTGCTGTAAGGGAAGTGTATTTTGGAGGGAGATGTCTCATCTAGAAATGACGTGAGCATATTCTTAAATTTACGCAGTGAAGACGTTTAATCAAGCCCTGGTTGTTCCACTGACTCAAAGGAGAAGTGTCCATGCAGAGCTCTGTGCAGGACTGGGACTGAAGGCTTCTCTTCCCTTGCACATATGGACTGGGCTGGGAAAATCAGCAGGATCCCTCATCTCCGCATTACCCAGGATGTACCTAAAACATCTGTAGGTTGCCTTTGCAATGTGTTTTGAGGGGAATACTGCTGCTCCGCAAGACAGAGCTTTCAGTTTGCAAACCTATACACCCTTGTTGAAGCTACTCACACAGCTTTAAGGGCTTAAGCACATATTTGGATATGTGGCTTATCCCAAAATGAAGGTTTACACAAAATCGAGGCAGTTCACAACATACTGTGATTGCCAGCTATGGGGAAAGAAAATCTGGTCAGCAATGTGACAAAAGGGGAAGTTGTGTTCTGCTACCACACTGAAAAGTGTCCTTCGTAATTAGTGTGCATGCATGAGTTAAAGTGCCACGTAATACATACAGATAAGAACACTTATCAAAATGCCAGTAATATTTGGCAAAACGGGAAACCTGTCTGTGGGAAGAATGTGGATGTTTAGATTGAAGCAGAGAAGTTGTAACACAACGAAAACCTGATGAGAAAGGCAAATAGCAAGGCACAGAGACTTTAAGGAAGGAATTTGGGACAGGTACAATCCGTGATTGCAGTGAAACGGCAGAGGGATGTGTTGTGTACGTGAAGATGTGTCTAACAAGACAGCCTATCTATAGAGAATCTGAAAGGGAAAATACGTGTTAATATGGGAAATGTCTCCAATACAGCAGTTCAGCATCATATAGGGCCCTATCCTGCAAACACAACATGGTCATATAGGCAGGCAAGTAGCTGCCTTTCCAATTAGACAACTTACATCCAAAGTTCAGGATTTAATCCACCCCAAAATGGAAAGAACTGGAAGGAATCAGGACTGTGAAGGGATGAGTTCATTTGTGAATGCATGATGTGAATGGATGTAAAAGCAACTTGCAAGAACAAACCCTCTAGAAACTGCATAAAGGAGCTGCAGAGGAATTTCATTCCAGTACACTAGAAAACGACATAAATCCATAAGAAATGAAAAGGATTGGGAAGCTAAAAGCCAAGGTTAGCGCATTTACACAGCTCCAAACAGAACAAACTATGAGAAAGAACTTCTGTTCTTGGCATTTTGTTGTAATAAAGATGTTTATAATAAATTGTCTTTAGAGACAAGTTTGAGGTATTAGTGTTATTAGTTATGAGGTATTATACTAGTGTTATTAGTGTATAGTTATAGATATACAGCACATCAGGGATACAGCACGTTACATTATTTATCACAGCAATTGATACTGTGATAAAACTATTAAAATTAGCCATGAAGTCCATGCCCTTAGCATACATTCGTTTCTCATTTTCCGTGTGAATTGGTCTTATTTCGGAGAGGATTTAGTGTGTTTATAGGCATGTTTTGCAGAACAAAATGAAAGGTAACAGCTTATTCGTATTGTGTATTTCTATATTCAATAGTTTCATGAGTAAATTAAATAGAAATTACAAGGTGAAAGGCGGTTTCAAATGTTTTACTAACACAGTGACAAAAAAAAGTGAAGTCTTTCGTAACAAACCCTCTATTATCAGTAATTTTTCGTAGGGAATTATGAATGCATAGCAATTATTCAGAAAACTAATCTTGACTTAAATCTTTCATTGACATTAAGGGAAAAATAACATTGTAATCTTAAGTTTTTCTTTTTATTCTGTCATAAGAAGAAATTATTTTCCTTGTACATGTTTTTCAGCTGAATGCTTTAAAACAAAGGCAGCTCAGCAGCAGATGACAGATAACCTAGGGTTAGGAGGAAACCTCGAAGCATGCAGGAGGCAAATGGAGACACATCTTTAAGGAGCCCCAAAGATCTACCCAAGCAGTGACTGTGAGCATTCACAGAAGTGATCAGCCTCTGCAGGACCAGAACAACTGCAGCTAACAATGACAGCATTTCCTCTTGAATATTCCTTTGCATTTTGTGTTTCTTTTTAAGGTGACCTGATCTCTCCAAAGCACAAAACATGGGGTGCGAAAGGCTCCAGAGCAGGCTGTAAAACAGGGCTTTGGACACTGATTTCATGCTGCTGTTCTGCACACTTAGCAGAAGACCTCCTTAAGACTCCCAACTCTTCCCAGAGTTTTGAGAAACAAGTTAGATTTTACCCATCTGACAGAAATCTCCCCATGAAGCAACCGATGCGCAACTTGGGATAGTTTGATCTGAAGGAGTAATTCTCTGTGTCACAAAGATAAACCCCTCATACTTGTTCCTGATTTTCATTCCTTTTATGCATCCGGATAGTCCAGCAGAATTCACTGCACTGGAAAAGGTCAGACAATAGGTGTGATTCCTGAGGGAAACAGGAGTGGAGGAGACAGTCCAGGGCAATCCTTGGACATGGCTGTTGGCTTATGAATGAATCAGTAACCAAGAAGAGACAGAATTATCTGCAGCACTGAAAAGTGCAATGAAGGAAACAGAAATACCTCCTTGCCATGCTCACATGCACATAATCCCAGTACAGATAAAAAATACCCAATTTCTGCATTTCTGGCACAAGAAAAGAGCTCTTTAATTTCACAACAAATTTGGAAAGTGATCCTCAGGAAAGCACACTTTTTGGGGTGTACCTCTATGTGGGGATCGCACCTCCCTTTAGCCTAACTAGCGATGCTCCTAACCTGGAACCAAACCTCCCCACAGCGAGTACCGTGCTTTACAAGCACCACCTCACAACCCATAAATCCCATGCGTCCGACCAGGCCGTCCCCACACGCAGAGGTACCGCGGGAGGACCGCCTGAGCTCTGCAGTGCCCAGGCAGAGATGGAGCAAGGCTCCGGCGCTTCTTCCTTCGAGCACTCCTTTTCTTAGCAGCTGATGTATTTGCAGACACACACCCCCACACACCCCCTCTCCAAAGTCCCAAGATCCACAAAAATAGAAGTCAAAGGTCAGCAGGAGGATGTAAAAATACCATTTAATCTTATCTGTGCCACGCTTCATGTGGACTTATTTCACCATCTTCAGCTCTCTTTGTTGAAAGACTCATTTATTTCTGCACTGACAGAGAAGAGGGGATCCGTTTGCAGCGTGGGCTGAGGAAAAGCTGCTCTACTCACTTTATTCGCCTGTAAGATTTGAGTAACTCTCGCTGTAGAACTTTGTATGTTAAATAATAACAACGCAATACAAAATGATTCTCTTCTCATACAAAGAAGACAGTTTTCTAGCACTTGTGTCATGTTTAGTGCTCATTTGCTGCAAGTTCTAACAAGTTTTGTTTCACAGTTAGCCATGAAGTTATCTTTTACTTTGGGATGTTTTCTATCCTATTGTGCATGTATGAGTTACCAAGACGCTTTTGTATTTCTCATTCCTGTGTCAATTCCCTATCCCGTTTCTGCAGGGGGATTGATAACGAACTTACACACCCATGCTAAGTTATTCATTTAAACATTGACCATTTTGCTCTCTTTTAGCATTCGCACTAAATTGCTGGATTCACGTTGAGCGTTTTGCTCTCTTTCAGGCACCTCAGAACGGCACCAGGAGAAAACCCCAATTCCGAATGTCACTGCATCCTCCATTACACAGGGTTTCTCTGCGCAGCTCCCAACCAGGAGTCCGCAAACCCCGTATCTACGCCAGGCGTTACAACATGAAGTTTGCGGAGCACAACCCGGCCGCGCATTCCCACTGATAATGAAGAAACAAATTGGAGCTTCTGGAACAAACCCTAAGCCAGGCTCGGACATGGGTCTGCCCGCGGAGAGCCCTCCCGTCCTGCTCCGGGAGCGCTTTGTTTTAGGCCTCACACACACACAAGGCGCGGGGAGGAAAGTCGGGGAGCTCGGCACAACTCGCCCTTCAAACCTGACAGAACTTGGCTGGGGAGTGTGAAAGAAGAAATTAAACAGTAGTAAATACAGGCGGGACAAAAGCCCTTTTCTCGTTGTGTAACGAACGCAATGCTGATAGATTACTGCCCGGTTTCCATGGGGACCTTTTTGTTCTAACTCCAGATACCGATGATTAGGGTTAAACGAGGCACCTCACAGTGGTGGGGTTTGTTTTTTTTCACGAACTGAACAGAATGGACTGGAGGAAAGTGCGGCAAAACTTCGTTATCGATCGCTTTGGTGATCGCTGGTATTAGTTTTAACGATGATGCCTGCTAATCCCTGCGGAAGGCGCCTGCTCCCAGGGCACAATTAGCACATTTTTGGCATTCCTGCAAGTGCCGCCCGGAGTGTCGGGGCCGGGGGTCCCCAGTGCCGCCCGTTCCGTACTGCAACCCCTTGCGGGGGGGGGGGGGGGGTGTATTAAGACCCGTCGGGGTGAGCACAAGGGGTATCGATACCCCTCGGGGTGCTCAGGCGTTGGAAGGCCACGGAGTGCGGGCTCCGCTGGCACCGCGGCCAAGGCCTGCCGCCGCACAGGCCAAGCCAGGAGCGCTCACACACCATTTTGGGGCTTTTCACCCCAAAACCAACACGAGCCGCTCCTAAGCGCCGAGCTCGGGGGTCCCGAGCTGCGTCCCCACTGGAGGAGCCCCATGAGCGCTCCCCCGCTCCCCGAACCCCGCCGTCCTGCAGGCGGCTCCGTCCCGTCCCGTCCCCCCCCCCCCCCAGCTCCGAGGTCTTCGGCCATCGCCATCCTCCCCGGGCGGGAGGAAGCCGGAGGCCGGCCGGCGGTGGCTGCCATTGGCCGGGGAGCGGCGGCGGCAGCTGCAGGACACAATTAATTATGCTAATGGCGTGGGGAGCGGATGTACTTTCTTCCCCCCTTTATTCCCCGCTCTGTTTTTGGCTGGTCGGTGCGGGAAGGAGCCGCCCTGGCCGCGATCACATGATATTGTCTTCGCGCCACTTTCGTAAAACCCTTTTTATTCCAGGGCTGCGCTCGGGCTCAAAGGTAACGCGATTATGGTCCCGGTCCTTCCCTTCGCGCTTCTTTCCCGTTCCCCCTTCCCGAACGCCGCCGCGGTGCTCAAAGCCCCCGCACGCCTTTAGGGTTTTCTCCCTTTCCTTTATTGCACCCCTTTTCGGGTTGTTTTTACCGCTTTTTCCCCTCCTTTCCCCGCCGGCAGCGCGGCTTAGCCCTGCACGGCGGGTGGGGGGGGAATGCACACCCGGGGCTCGCAGCCCCGGCTCCCCCGTGCCCCACCGCGGGCTGCGGGCACCAGCACCCACCTGTAGGAGTGTGCGGGGTTCGCCCTGCGTTCCGCGTGGGCCCGCGGCTCCCGGCCTCCCCCCCCCCCCCACTACCACCCCTGCACCCTCGTGTGTGTGTGTGTATGTGTGTGTGTGCGTCCCCTTCGTGGGTCCCGCGGCACCAACAATGGACGGGGCAGCGGTAGGAGGCCAAAACGTGGGGCTTAGGGGCGGCCGATGTGGTGCGGGGGGGACCCCGCGTGTTGTGTGTGCGTGTGCGTGCCCCGTGTGTGTGTGTGTCCCAGTTACACGCCTCCCGCACCGTGCGTGTTGGGGGGGGGGGGGTCGGGTCGCGTGGCCGGTGCGGGGGGGCCCGCGCGCGGCGAGCACATGGCGGCGGGCGGTGCGGTGCGGGGGGGGGGTGTGGTGCGGTGCGGGGCGCATGCGCGGCGCGCGGGGCGCGCTGGGGGTTGTAGTGTGGGGCCGGCCGGGAGGCGGCGGGCGGGTGCGCGCGCGCGCGCTCTCTCCTGCTCTTCCACTCCCCCCCCATTCCCCTCCCCGCGCTCCGTTTCGCGGGCGGGCGCGCGGGAGCCGCGCCACGCGCTCGGCGGAGCCGCCGTCGGGGCACCGCGCTCGGCAGCGTTCGGACGCGTCCCGACGCGTTCCCGCCCGTCCGGCCGCAGGCAAGAGCAGGCGGAGGTGGGGGGGGAGCGGCGGCGGGAGGAAGGGGAAGGAGGAGGGGGGGGAGGCGGTTGGAAGCAGCCGGGCTGCCCCGTCGGGCCGGGACAAAGGGGCCGCCCGCGGCCGTGCGGAGCCGCCCTCGGCGCTGCTGAGCGCCGGGCTCGGGGCACCCACGGCGGGCGCTGCTGTTGGCGGGGGGAGGCCGTGCCGGTGCCGGGGCGGGGAGGCGGTGGGGGGGTGATGGGAAGCGGGCGGTCGCGCGGCTTGGCGCGTTTTTGGGTCTTTGAATGGGGAACTGCATTTCCCACCGTGCTTTGTTCCTGCGCTTTAATCGCCGCCGCGCGGCCCCCCGGACGGGGCGGGCAGCACGTGGTGGGGCGCCCCACACCCCCTGCCCGCCTCCGGGGTGCGGCGTGGCCGGACCCCTGCCCTGGGGATGCTCCGGGTGCACCCCCCACCTCCCTCCCCGCTCTGTGTGTGTGTACTGGGGGGGTGCCGCTGGTACCGCTGTGCACGTGGCGAGCGCGGCCGAGCGCTCCCGGTGCCCGCCCCCCCGAGCGGATGGGTCGGTGCGGGGCAGCGCCGGGACCGGCTCCGCTGTTGGAGGCGGTGTTGCGGGGGGGGAGCTCGGTCCCACCTCGGGAGGTTCGTCCCGTTGGGCGCTGCCGGCGTGGCGCGGAGGGAAGTTTAAACGCGTGTGCATGAACGTGCGCGGTTCCCTTTCCCGCTGTTGCTTTTGTGCCGCGCCGCAGCTGCCGGCATCATCTGGAGGGCAGACACCGCGTTATGGGGTGCGGGATCGTGTGTCAGAACCGTGCTGGTTGGGTGATGCAAGGTACGGGGTGAAGCTCCGGCAGAAGGGTCAAGTCAAAGGTCTCACGTGCTGTAGGGAGGCACTGGGCGCAGGGCAGCAGCAGGACGGGGTGTTTTGGTGCCTGTCGCAGTGCTTTGTCACTGCCGTTGGGAGCTGGAGAAGCCATTTCCACCTTGGTTCCAGTTTGCAAAGGCTTCCTTGCCTGCTGTGCTCGCAGCTGAGCGGCCTCCTCCAAGCTCTGAACCCATTTCTCCCCTTGTACTTCAATAAGAACATCTCTGCTACATCGAGCAGCAAATCCGTATCTGCGTGCTGTACCATTACCATTAGTCCAACATTAACATTGGTCTTCTCTTGGCAGGTACCACTGGCTCCCGAGCTTCAGTCAAGGCGCTTGTGTGATGCTGTGGCTGTGCTGAAACAAGAAGAGCTTTTAAAGAAGAGTGTGTCTCTGGTGATGATGGGCCTTGAGTTGTGCAAAAGTGCTTACAGTGCAGGTAGAGTTCAGGATCTACTGCAGTATAAGCACTTCTGGCATTACTGTGGCGATGCGGTGATGGTAGCGGGGCATGGACGTAACCAGGATTGTTGTTTGGCCACCTTAGGGCTGCATTGTGAACGGTTCTTGTGTTAAGGTGCATCTAGTGCAGTTAGTGAAGTAGCGTAGAATCTACTGCCCTAAATGCTCCTTCTGGCACAAGCTGCTGCCTGCACATCCAGAACACCCCCAGTGCATCCATCTGGCTCTAGCCCAGCAAGTTCTAGTTCAAGTGGTGCTGTTATTGAAGGCACTGCTCGGGAAGTAGTTTTGTCCTAGCAGTATCAAAGTGCTCATAGTGCAGGTAGCTTGGAATTGGACCTACTGTAATGTGGGCACTTACAGTACTGCTAGATAAAGCGCATCCTTAGCTAGGGGCAGGCTCTGGAGAAGATGGTGCTGATTACAGTCAGTTTTGCAGGTTTGCATCCCAGCTTGCTAAGATCGCTGTGCAAATCCATGCAAAACTGACTGTGGTGGTGGTGAATCTGTGGTGGATGATGGGGTTTGAAGCTTCCCTTCCTCCCCTCTCTTTTTGTGTTCCATGGAAGATGTGAAGGTGCCTTGCGCTGGTTTCTCCATGGGTGGGGATTTGTTGCATTACTTGTAGCTATATGTAGAGTATTGCACTTGTCCCGGCCTGTGGAGGAAAGGAGGACTTGTCTTCAGGCTGCGCTGCCCCGACCCGGCCAGCGCTTTGCTGAGCTCTGTTTTGCTGTTGTCGGGTGGATCACGATGCAATTTTGATTAGTTTGGTAGGAGAAAAATTGCACGGTATCCATCTGTAAACCGCAGGACCTTCATCGCTGACAGCGTTGCTCTTGTCAGTCCTCACTTCCCACAGCGGAGGCTGTAGGCATTGGGATGGCTCGCTGGTGACTCCGCAGCTTGAAGGGATGGGAACAAAGAAACTTCTCCAGATGCTGAGGTTTGTCTACCATGGAAAGGGAATAAAACCCCCCACAAAGCCAACACCAAGCAGTGGTCCAGGGAAGGACACTGTGGGAGCTTGTTTCTGTAATAACACATGAATGACTGTGGTGGACTTGCCAATAAAGAGATTTTTGACGTTAAACTTGTGTTTAATGATGTATCTCACTGAAGCGTGGTTGCAGGAGACAAAGGTAATCCAGGAGACCCTTTGGGTTGCAGCCTTGTCCTGCTCCAGCATCCTCCTCAAGGTGGATCTACTACAAACCTCTTCTTGCTGCTGATGCTTCAAGGAGGCTCTTTGCTGTGAGGGGGGGTGTTTCTCCTCCAGGAGAAGGATACCCTCAAGTGATGGTGCTCAACACTCACCCTAAGCAATAGTAACGCTCCTTTTCGGTTTACTCTTTGCTTGCCTTAGCCTGGAAGTTGGGATGGGAGCTGCAACATGTCCGGACCGCAGGGAGACCTTGGTGTGTCCCAGCTTTGGAGCTGGCAGGATGGATGTGGGAGCTGGGGTGTTGTGTTCTGTGCTCGGGGGGTCTGGATGCTGCCTGGCAAAGGGGGGAGCTGGACCTGAGCTGTGTGTTATGGGGCTGCAAGCGACGATGTGCCTGTGAGAGCTCAGTGTTGCTGAGTGTGTCAGGTTGCTCTGTGGTTTGGTTTTTGGGGTGGTTATGTTCTAAGGGGTGCCCTAGGAAGAGGATTGTTGGGATGCTCAGACTTCAGATGGGTTATTTTCCCAGTTGCCTTCTTAATGTGCATGTAAGCATCCAGTTTGAAGAGGGCAGAACTCTAGAACCACCACTCATGGTCGCTGCAGTTGCCTCAGTGCAAACAGCTCTGGTTAAATGGGCAGCACCAGGGGGTTTCTGACAGCACTTTGGAGATCTGATAGGGTGATTTTGCTGGTCTGGGTTATGGTGGCCAATGCAGCCGGCCTGAGGCCACAATGGATCCATGATGCTGTTCCTGTCTGCCCGCACCTGGTCCAGGAGTGGTTGTGCACAGCAGGGAATACACCAAGCAGGGGAGTCCTTGCTTAGTTCAAGTGGAGCTGCAGAGCCCCTGCAAGGGCTCTGGTCATGTTCTGCCCCAGAACCTAATCCGAGGCTGAGTTGTAATCCTGTGCTGTGGAGCGCTGTAATCTGGGCTTCAAATCCCCGCACAGACAGAAGGCAAAGATGTTCCCCGAGTGCAAAGCCCTTCTGGCTGCATCTCTTGTTGACAGCAAGGAGAAATGGGTTGGAATTTGTGCTAGTAGGAGATCCTTTAGGAGAGGATCTGGTTCGAGAACATCTTAAGAACCTGAACATGCAAAAGTCCATGGGACCTGATGGAATCCAGACCTCACTTGGAGTATTGTGTGCAGTTCTGGGGTCCTCAGCATAAAAAGGACATGGAACTGTTGGAACAAGTCCAGAGGAGGCCACAAGGATGCTCAGGGGCTGGAGCAGCTCCTGTATGGAGACAGGGTGAGAAAGTTGGGACTGTTCAGCCTGGAGAAGAGAAGGCTGCGTGGAGACCTCAGAGCAGCTTCCAGTATCTGAAGGGGGCCTATAGGGATGCTGGGGATGGACTCTTCATTAGGGACTGTAGTGACAGGACAAGGTGTAATGGGTTAAAACTGAAACAGGGGAAGTTTAGATTGGATATAAGGAGAAGTTCTTTACTGTGAGGGTGCTGAGGCACTGGAATGGGTTGCCAGGGAGGTTGTGAATGCTCCATCCCTGGCAGTGTTCAAGGCCAGGTTGGACAGAGCCTTGGGTGTTATGGTTTAGTGTGAGGTGTCCCTGCCCATGGCAGGAGGTTGGAACTGGATGATCTTAAGGTCCTTTCCAACCAAAACTATTCTATGATTCTAAAGGTGATTTACGGTGGAGCATTGTACCCCAACTGTGTGGGAAGCATCAGGATGCGTTCACAGCAGGAACCAAACCCAAGGTTGCTATTGTGTGAATGTGCTCCTGTGAGATGCTCCAAGCCTGGCTTTGTGTGGCTGATGCTCTTGTGCAGTCTTACTGGGTGAACCAGGCTTGTGCTGGAGGGGATTCGGTGCCACAGGCAGTGTTTGGTGCAAGGTGCTGGTGTTATCACAGGGTGTCTGAGCACCGCGGTAGGGCCAGAGGTGTCTGTTAACAGTGCCGGTGTCCGCTGTTGGGGCGAGCGGCTGCACCGTCTGTTCCGAGCTGCAGGTTGGGTGGAATTCACTGACTTTGCTCCAAGCACTGAACTGTGGATCCGGGATGGGTGTTCCTGCATGGTAAACCCGCACGGGGAGGAAAGGGGTGGGAAATGCTTGGAGGAATACCCAGTTCCGGACCCCAGTTCCTCAAAGTCCCTTCTTGTTTCTGGCACCCCGTTTGGGGGCTGCATTAACCCCTTGCTGCAGCACAGGAGGAAAGGGTGAGATCTCCCCGGTCACACGTGGGTGCTGCTGTGGCTGTGCCAGTGCAGGCGCTGCTGGGCTGCTGCTTAAACCGGGAGGGTCGGGGTTTGTCACACATGAGACGTGTCGCAGCCGTTGGCTGTGGGTGCCAAGGGGCTGAGGCCGCTCCCGGAGCGGGCACAGGGGCTATTTCTGGGAGCGGGATGTCAGCAAGGACTCGGCACCAGGCATTTTTCACTGGGGGTTTATAAATAGGGACAAGCGCACGCGGATGGGAGCGAGGGCTCCTCGGGGAAAGAGGCAGCTCCGGATCTGGAAACTCCAAAGGGCTTTCTATGGATTGGGAATATTTGGGATCACTGCCGGCCACACAACTCTGTGTTATTTAATACACGTGCGGGTATTCCCAGTGTAATCAGTGTTCATCTCTCGGAGCATCCAGTGGGGACTTTCCTCTTAAAGGGAACTTGTTCCAATCGCTCTTCTGAGCTATCACTGCTTTTTAAAGCATCCTCTGGTCCTGGTGATCCTCACGCTGTGTTCTGTAGCATGCTCGTGTCTCCCTCAGTGCCCTAAACCCAGGTGAGCGTTTCTAATCTCTCCCAGCACCCAGCCCCTGTGCTCACTGCTGCTCTTCATCTCCTGTTGCTCCCAAGTTACTTTGTCCAAAGCAGTTAAAGCGCATCCATAAAACCTGGGTTTAGTTTCCATCTGTTATGGGGTTTAAATCACAGGTGACAGAAAGGTGTGAGTGTTTCAGATTTGCTTCTATTGGTCACCCCTAAGAAGGGTTGTCTGCCCCCAAACCAGCTCTCAACCCGGATCTGCTGCCTGAGGGAGTGATTCCATCCATCCTTGTGCGCACCTGTCCTTGGTCTCCTCCCCTACCAAATCCCCTGCAGTGACATCCCAGGATAACGCGCTGCGTTCCCTTTGGCTTTCTACATTTCCTCCTGATTGAAGCTGCTGGACGCCCGCAGGCACGATGGGGGTCACCAGGTATTTGGCTGATCACTTTTGCCACTGGAAGTGTTGCTTGTCAAGGCGATATTTCATTTGCCAAAGGGTTTCATAAGGGGTAGGGAACTGCAGCACTGAACCGAAGGGGAAATCATCAATGCTGGTTTTACATACATATATATACACACATGTACATATGTAAGTATATATATAACATCATAGAGAAACTAGAATGGGTTGGAAGGGACCTTAAAGCTCCAACCCCTACCAAGGGACCCGTTCCACTGGAGCAGCTTGCTCCAAGCCCCTGTGTCCAACCTGGCCTTGAGCACTGCCTCCCAGGGAAGAGCTGCCTAATGCCTCATCTGTTCGTTAACTGCATTAACTCTGGTTGCTGCATTGCCCCAGCTCTGCCGATGGGCCATCCCCAAGGCAGCAGAGCTCTAAACAGCCCTGCTCAGGAGGATTCCTGTGTACCAAAATCTCTCTTACTCGGTTACGCCTCCCTCTCCAACTCAGACATGGGCCTGGCTTGTTTTAGGAGGTGATGACAAGCAGATAAAATGGAATTAGAGCCTCCGCTGGCGTGTGGGCAGGGCTGCAGTGCTGCCTTTAATAGTTCCTCACTCGGGCAGTTTATGCTGTGGTGCTGATGCTCCGGGTGCTGGAAGGCTCTTGGTGGGAGATGGGATGAGCAGGGCTCGGAGCTCCTGGGATGTGGACTTGGAGCTGTGTAAGCATCCTGCTCCGTGGACCTGAGCCTGCTCATGGGGCTGCTCTGCCCGCGCGGCTCACAGGAAGGGTTCCCTGGGGGACCCATTGCTGTGAGGAGCTGGGTATCAGGGTGCAAATGCTGCTGCTGTTTCAGGCTGTCGAACACGAGTGCCACCAAGGCTAATGGGATCTATTGCATTTCCCCCCTCATTTTCCAATGGGCTGTCACAAACCAGGGGCCCAGCGGAGGCTTTGGAGCTGCGTGAAGAGGATGGGGAGGAGTTGTCGGGGCTTGGCTGTGCCCACTGCCATCGAGGAGCATTGCAAATGGGAGAGTTCAGTGAAGGGGCTTGGGAAAAGCGGGAAGAGTGATGGGAAGACATCTGGAACACACCTGTCTTTGTGGGAGCTGATCCTGGGTTTCAGTCGGAACCAGATCCACTTTGATGTGTCCCATCGGAAGCACCGCGGATGCACAGGTACGTAATCCTGCTGGGGTTTGGGTTCCTGCAAGCCCCAAGCAGGATGTGCTGGGCTGTGTCCTGTTGGCATGTCAAGCATCATGTCTGAGCTGCAGCCCCGTTCGGGCGCTTGTGTCAGGGCTGGCTATGAACCGTCCCGCTCCTGGCCTTGCAGCATCACCCATTGAGTTACTGTCCTGGCTGTCACAGGGCACGCAGTGCGCTCTGCTCCTCCATGCAGCCTGGTCTCACATCAGGGCTGGTTGCTCAGTGCTGATTTGGAAGGTGCCCATAAATCACTGCTTAAAAGAAGAGTTGGTGGAGTGGGGAAGATTCTTTTATAGGATCTGTTGTTTGCCCTGGTTTTACTTATTCTGGATCATGTTGATTCTGGGTAATGCTTTCATCCCCTTTAATAAGCTGAGGCTGCCTGGAAGCCCCTGTATGTGACATGGGTGCTGTTGCCTTTGCAACCAAGCCTGTACCCCCTTGCAAAGGGTTATCA